TACAGATAGGTACGGTAGGTACTGATAGTAACAAACCATCATTGGAGCAGTAGGAAGGGCTCACCTTGTTGATGCTCTGGGTCAGCCTCACAGAGCAAATACAGCCTGTTTCCTTGGTGTCTGAGTTTCTCCACAATATTGAAAAAACACTGAAATTCTTCACATTTACCTCTGTGCTGGGATGAAATGGTAAGATTCTCAGTTGGTAGCAACGGATATAAGAGCTGAGGACTCCTGCGGCACTTTCCACCCACATGAGTTTATGAGACCAGAGGACAGGCTTGTGGGCAGAGAGCTTCCCCAAGCTAGAACTGTATTTCCATGTTTGTGCCAGTCCCTGCTTGCCCACCTGCTGGCATCACGGACAGGGAGTTCCAAGAGCAGCCTCCAGCCTTTTCCATACTCTGTGTATTTTGGGGTTTTTCTTTAATGAACAGCGATCTCTTTGGAAGGATATAAAGCCCAGATTTCTTTTCTCCCAAAACATAAAGATATACTTACTGGAGTATGAAACAGACCTTGAAGCCTAAGGTAGCCCATCTGCAGTACATCTGCCTCTGCCTTTCAGAAGTCAGCAGAATACACAGATCTATTGCTGTGGTGCTCTGCAAATCTGCTTTCCAAATAGACTGCATACAAAATAACTCGCAGAGACTTAAATACGTTAATAACTTAAGAACCTAAATAAGCTGATATTTGATGTGACCTACATTAATGGGGAAGCATTACAAGGCAGATAAGCAGAAAGTTCTCATCTATTGTATAACACATGATTTATTCATACCATAAACATATTGAGAAAAAGATATGCTCTGGCATTCTGTCTACTTATTTTACCCACAGAAAAAAAAATAAAAATGATGTAAGGAGATCATGCTGGTGAGAAGATATTCATATCACAACAGCAACAGACTTAGCGGCAGGGCTTCCAGATACTTCTTTATGGTTGGAAAAATATAGAGAAAAGCACAGAGGTTGCACCACAGTGTACCCGTAATTCTAACTACCAGCCTAAGAGGGGAAGCAGTTCATAGAAGAGGCTAATGGCTTTACCCTGACCGATATCACTGCATTAATAAAAATCATCAATAAAATTTGCTGTACTGTAAATGAGACGGTGGCTGAGTGTGCACTGCAGCTGCAAGATAAGGCACTAGAAAGATATCTAAATTTTTGGCTAATTCTAGATGTCAAGATAATTGGATTTTCCAAATTAAACCTTTCTGTAGTTAAAGAGGATTAAGGTTAGGGACTGTAGCAGGGAAAGCTGCTGTCACTGTTATGAAGAATTTGCTGCTACAGTGCCATTTTTCTTCTATGTCTGCTCTAAGCAGGCAAAATGGCAAGAGCTTCATAAAAATATTGAAGTAGTTTTATCATTTGCCATCAAAAGCTGGCATGGGAAAGCTTTGTTTCTTGTGCATCTACCTATTCATCTGAGCTCTGAACAAAATTTTAACGAGTGTTGAAGGGACAATATAAGGTTATTTAGGCTAAAGTTTAAGTTTTATTAAAAGGTCTACGAAATGTAACACTAGATAGGTAGAATGTAAGGATATTTCAGAGCCAAGGTGCTCAGAGAAGAGTATGTGGTGTTACGTCAAGTATATGTTTAAACCCTTGATGAAAACAAAGTTCATTTTTTAGAAATATCTTTTACCTTTCTAATTGTAATGATAGCAATGTACGTCCCTCAAACCTTTTGAGCACTTGTGTTTCATAAATGAATTCACTGGTATTTTATGGAAGTGCCAACAATATAAATACTCCTTGAGACACTTTGTCGCCAGATGGTTTCTCTGCAGACTTTCTCTGATTCCCCACACTTCCAAAACAGGGATATAAACCTCCTGACATAGCAGAGCATAACTACAAAAAGAAATCTTCCCTATCATCAGATTACTCTGTAGCCTCTTCTTGAGAGAGTTCTTGCATCTTTCCTGAAGCAACAGATTATGTCTGTTGCTGAGGCAAATCACCAAATTCAGTGGGCTCATGTCAATCATAGTCCTTACATTATTGTACATTGCTAGAGGAGCTCTTTCTTATTGTCTCAAGGGCTTGGCTTTTTCTAACTCTGCTGGAATTAAAGGCTAGAGTGTAACACCATGGGATATTGTTGCAGAGCTCACTTCCAAGATATTAAAAAACTTCATCTTTCGTTATCATCTTTATCAGTTTAGCAGCTACTCCCATAGTCATGAAAGAGCCTGACACTTCTTCTACCCCAAAGCCACAACAGCAACATCCTCTTTGATGTACCTGAGAGGACATGGCAGAAAGGACCCTTCAGAAGGAAGGACACTGAAACATCAGCAAATGGGAAAAAACCGTCACCCTGTCCTCTCTGCAAGTACTCTCTTGAAAGTCCGTTGGAGCCCTTGCAATCCTCTCCACAGTGTGATTGTACCTTGAGCAGCTGCATGGTGCACAGCTCAGCAGATGATGTCTTGTAGGCATCCCTGTTTCCCGGACATGTTGCCAAATATTCATCCATGGGTATGGACTTCAGCACGTAAAGGCTTAAGCAGAAAAATCCTTAGGGATTTCATCATATAAAGTTTTCTCCTCCAAAGTTTTTATGTGCTGAAGTTTTATATCCTTAAAGATCTTACCCCATAAAAATCCGAGAGGATAATAAAACAAATAGCATCTATGTCCAGGGTCAGTAGCTTGGGGGAAAAAAATGCTCTTGGGTAATAATAATACCTTCAGTAGCAGTATTGACCAGAAACTACAGATCTATTCTTTCCCCGTTGGCTGACATTTTATCGTTATTGCCCTCTGAGCTAGTCACTATTTGCACGCTGTGCAGAGTAGCCATGGGTCCATGGCAATGCAGAGACGTTATAGGCGTGACTTTGAACTGCTCTTGAGGATGATAAAGCCAAAAGTGAACTTTGCAGGCAGAATACAGAGCTCATCTGGTCCAGCTGCTCAGGTTTTCCTCTCACTGCCTCACTCCGTGTATTTTAAATCTGAAGTGTATGGATAGACCCCAAACCCCATTCACATCCTCACGTTAATGCAGATTAGGAAATGGCTGCCAAGCTATAGAAAATAAGCAGAGTACCCAACATCTCCCACAATATAAGGCCGACCTAATTCTGTGCCTATATTTACACATGAAATGCAGTAAAACTTGAACAAATAGGCCTCTGCTTTTTTAAAAATGTACCTTGGAAAGCTAGATTGGTACCATTGTCTTGCTACTGGTCCTCTAAGGGCCCTGAACGACAAGATAATTAATGTCCATAGAAATATGAAATCCTAAAATCAATTTCCTGTAAATCAGTGCAGACTGGTAAATATTCCCACATGGAGGAACGGGCACGGATCAATTCGTGGGTCCCTGAGCTCCTGGCAGGAGGACACACTTGCTGTTTTCAGGTCTGATACCTCCAGATCTGTGGCATTAACCACGGCTAACATGGCTGTGCCCGTAGAAGGCTGGAACTCCTCCTCACCCAGGTAGGGGGGCGGGAATGTTATTACCACCCCAGGTGGTCATGATGCTGTTATCCACGTTTGAAGCTTGTTAATTTTCCAGGGTTAAATACTGCCCACTCCAGCCTGCTTCCGTTAATGCAGGATAATGGGTTGACTAAATACAATAATCTAAAATATAAACAAATCCCCTGCCATCCCCTCGAGCTCCAGGCAGAGTGTGCAGTGTAAGAGCACTCAGGGTGCACCTATGGCAGCCTATCCCAATATCTGCTCAAAACAATTGTAGCATTTCTACAACATTTCTGCACACTCTGTACCAATAAACAGGGTGGAAACAAACTAGCGTAAGACCATACCAGAGGACCTGTTGCCTAAAACCTTTAAAGAGAAGGATATAGATGCTTAACTAATTGGCACTCTCAGCCTTCTATCCTGGGTTGGTGGGAGCAGTCATCAGCTAAACAAATGACTCACAGAGGCACACTGTGTCTTGGATAGTTTTACATCGGTTGAGGATAGACTGGAGAACAAAAGCGAGGACTTGTCAATAAAAGACCAAGCTAGTCCCATAATGCTGCCTTCTGTGAATCACTTCAGTGTATAAGGTGATTTGGGTGATTCACACACCCTGATAAATATAAATATATCTTCTCCTCTCAAGCTTTTCTGACCACATCTACTAACTTTTTGTTAGTATTGTCACTATCACACATTAATGAAGCCTTACGGTTTCCCCAGTTTCCAGAAAGGACTGCCCACATTGAGATGACAAAATCTTTGTTAGCAACAGATGCAGCCAAAGCAGCGCTGAACGTGATCTTAGCCAAAGCCCAAGCCCGGAGGAACTGCAGCCCAACCTGCCTTGCACCGATCAATCAGAGCACCGAGCGAGGCTGTTTCCAGGCTGGTAGCTCCGCCTGGCGGTTCCAGCAGCAGTTCACTGGGGTCCCACCAAGTGTGAAATCCACCTCTCTGCATAAGACCAGCACAATGCATCGTTTGAGTCGTTTTTAAGGGATGACAAGGTTCATAAGCTTCATGATGCCCTCTCCACAGGAGTGAATTTTACCCTTAATGCAAATGGTGTTTAAATGCAATATTTTAAGACTAATATTCCGTATAGGCACAGTGTCTGATTCATGCCAACCCGAGAGGTAATATGAATGCTTACTATTGTTGAACCAGCTCCCAAGGACTGAATAAAACCCTCAGATGAAAGATATGACCTTCAGAGAGCATGGAATCACTTTTTCTTTTCATCTAAAAAATAATTTATCTAATACTTTTCATTGAAGACATAGGCTCACTGCACTGAAAACTGTTTACAAATGTTCTTTCTCCATTAAATTGATTTTCTGAGTATAGATAGGCAGTGTTTTCTGGAACTAATTTAAATTCCCCTCTAATTAATATTCAAGAGCAAAATATGCTATCTCTGCATGACTATGCGATTCTTAAAGGGAAAATATCATCTGTGAAAGTAATTATTTTTCTTTTTTTTAAATAGCCGTTAACTGACATGAAATGGATCATTTCTTTGCCTTTTTTAGGCTATGATTGAAGAAGCCATCACTAGAGAAGAATCTTTTTCCGTTATGTACACGCCACTTGTGACAGAAGTCAAGACTGGCAAAATAAACAAGCTAAAGAATGTGTTTGCTAAAAAGCACCCTGATTACGTGGAGTACATATATACAGGTAGCAGCAGATTTCACTTGCTTTTAAGCACTGTACACCGTTTGTGTGTGTGGCTGACAAAAAGAGTTTGAAAGAGTCTGGAGCATGAGCCTTTACATTTCTGCGTATCTGGGGGGAAATCGACTCGTGAGATTTGCTCTATGACTCTACGTGATTTAGGTAATCAAATCAGTACTTAGGCGAAGCACAGACTTTATGTTGCAAATCCCCATAAAGGTGATTTTTATCCTTGAAGCCTCATGTTTCAGTTGTTGAATTTCATTATTGCAACTCATCTTTGGTTCAAAGGTAGATTTGCAGTGTGTTGTGGTCACAGCAAGACCTGGGTTCATTCCCACCTCTGTGGATTTCCATCAGTCACCAACGGTCATCCCTGCAGCAGGGCCTTCGCTTTCCAAAAATATCCTCCTTTCTACAAGCACTAATGGACTGACTGTCACCTCTGAGAGCATCGCAGCTGCAGGGCGGGGAATAGATAGCCAGGTTTCCTTCAGTCTGTTGAAGACCAGTAGGATCCAGAGCGGACAAGGGCTTTGCAGAGCTTGTTGGCAACTCCCAGTAGAGTGACCTCAAGTAGCATCTCCTGGAGTAAGCAGACACTTAAATTCTAGTGACCACAGCCTTATCTCAAGAGGAATGGGCATGACATTTTGGCAAAAGGGAGGCAGGGGGATAAAAGGCATTTCTTACTATCATTAACCTGGTGACTTGGAACAGAGTTAACCCTGATAACACTTGGCTTTGAGTTGGTGATTGAGAAACCTAAAGGGAAAAGTACATTTCCCAGGTCAAATTCTGGAAAGCCTCTATCTTTGTCACGCAAACTAAATGCGTAGCTCACCTTTCACTGCTGGTGGTTCGAAAGGCTGAGGCGAGAGTTACGCCCAGGTCAGAGATGATGACTTAGTCCTTGCACTACCGAGAGCTCCAGCACTCTGCACATTAACGAGGCTTCCAAAAGGATACACATTGCATCTTTGGGGAGGAAAAGAAAATCTAATTGAAAAACACAAATAGGAGTTAGGAAACCAAGTGTTTACCACGAAACTGTGCAAATATTTAACACAAGTGATTTTTTGTTTCTTTGTTTTGCTTTAGGAAACCAGTATAAAACTAGATCATGTTTAGCAACTCACAGCTGATCCATGCACTGGGTTTCTGGCAGTAGCTTTGGGGTTGTTCAAAAAGGGAAAATGAGGATTTATTTATCACGGAGGTTGTAAAATCCCTGTCTACCATCTACTTGCTGATGTGACTTTGTGGAGAATTTCCTGGGAAAAAGTATTGGCATTAAAAGGAGCATAAAGTAAAACTCCTGAATCTGATTTTTAAAAAGATAAATTCATATTTCACATAACCCCCTCAATTTACAGCAAGGGTGAGCCTTTCAGAAGCACATAAGCAGCAAAAGCGTACAAGTGTTGCACTGAGACTAAGTTGGTGTTCATAAATCACTGAATGACTCTAAAAGTGCCACCAGTCATTTTTGTAGCCCTCCTAATCAGGAAGAGGAAGAAGGAAAAAAAATAATGGGGGTAAAAGATCCCAGTCTTATAGTACTTTAGTCAATTATAAAACAGATTGAATAGAGCCAGTTCTGCCATCACATATGTTTGTTTTCAAAAATCTATCAGTTAAAAGAATCACTTCAATTTTACACAAGTTTCTCTGCGTGCAGGTTCTGGGATCACTGAAATTTCTAGGAATTAAGTGGGGTAGATAGGCAAGAAAAACCAAAATATACATATCCGATTTTGAGAGTGCAGTGAAGTGAGTGGTCTCACGCAGGTGGAACCTCTCCCAGTCTCCCTCCTTTCTGTGCTGGAAACCCTTGCAGACAGAGCAGATGCAGCTCCTTTTCCTAGAATTGGTGCTGAGATAACTCACAACAGTGTTAGGTGAAGTGAGCTGTAGTAGTAGGGGTTAATCAACTTATCTATTCAGATCTGACCTAAAATCACACTGCCCACCAAAAAAACCCATCACAAGCGAAAAGTTTAGCTCATTGTCGGTGTGGTACCACTGAGCATTCAACCTGCAGGTCTGCAACTCATAGGTGAAATAAAAAAGATGAGCTAAGCCCCATTTTAACAGTGGGTGTGAAATACCAGACATCTCACGAACATGTTATTTTAAATAACCTTCCTGTTCTGTAACAATCATCCGTCCAATTTTAGTCCAAGTTCTGCTAGAGTGTAAGAACTTAAAGTTTTCCTCATTGCCAAGGAAAAGGAGCAGATATGCATTTAAATCCAAGCGTACAATGCAGTTTGTTGCAAAATTGAGAATCCATCAGAAGCAGAATATGCTGCAAGGGAAATATCAGGTCCACTCACTTTGATTTATATAGGGGGAAGTCCGGAGTAGGGTTCTCCATTTGTCACTGTGACCACAGAGCCTGGCATCTTAAAAGCAGAGCTCACTGAAAACAGAGCACTGCTTTGTGAAAAGTGACACTGACATTCAATCTAAGTTTATTTTTTTGGAGGGGAAGGGGAAGGAGGAAAGGACTGGTCTGGCTCCCCAAGCAAAGGTGGTTTATGCAATTGTTCTGAGCATCTGTCCTGGCTGAGGTCAGGGCGCACTGACTCAGCTGATGCACAGGGGTTTTGGCAGCGGCAGTCACAAACTCCAGACAAGCCACAGCACAGGCTGTCATGTGCCAGCTGAGTGGATCAGAAAGGACATGCAGGAAGCCTGGGATTATGGTGGTGGTGAGGGTAAAAGCACAAATCTGTAGGAAATCAAATCTCATCAATTCAGGGAACTACAAAACAGCTTCTTTTGCAGTTAAAAAGTCAGGATGTTATTTTGTGTTACTGAAGTGATGAGTTATTAATGCTTTAGATGATCAGCACTGAAAAGTGCATAAATGGAAAGAACACGTTTTATCTTATGCATCAGCAAAATTTAAGCTGTTGATTCAAAAGGTTGCAAAGTCTGGAATTTCAAAATCCAGTTAGAGCCGCATGCATTGGTTTGGTCACCTATGTCTTGGCAAGGTTTCTGGTTTACCTTTCACTCCTTTTTAGATTTGCCATTTTTTCCTTAAAGGAAGCAACTTCTTTTGTAACTGAAAAAGAGATGATAGAGGAAATTATTTTCATTTCCACATTGCAGATCCCCATGGACATCACATCTTGCCCCAGGGGGCGGAGTGGCCATCCCTACCTCCCCAGCAGTACACACTGACTCTGGGCTTCAGAAGCAAACATATTGGAAAAACCTTGGAAAGGTGGTCAAGGAGAAAACTACCCATCTTTTCAGGTACACCAACTTGCTTAATAGCTTGGATAGCTCAGGGGTGAGCTCCGTGATCCTTGCTAAATGGGTGGGGTCGGGGTGTTTCTCGGGACCAGTTCCTCTGTGTCAGCCGCCCTGGCTGCCCAGACGGCTCTCGCCATCCTCCTCTCTCCTCCTCCAGTTCACCTGTCCTCTTGCTAGATCCTCTATGGAAAATGTACATGAATAAACACAGCATATGGTCTTGTGATTTCATTTCCTAGACCGGAAAGCACCTTTCAGCCCTGTCACGGATGAAGAAACAACAAGATACTGGGAAAACACTGGGAAAAGGATTGTGCCAGTAATGGATTTTATAAGAAGCACCAAATTAACTGTGAGTAAAAAATTCACTTTGGCATGTGCAGCAGCAGTAGAAGCCTGCATGTGCATGAATGACGTGTGCTTTTTTTGGTGGGTAACTCATTCAGCACATGCTCCTCCTGTGTCCAGAAATGCTCAGTGAATTTCATTAAGAACAGAGTTCAGCTGGGGTTTAGATACTGCTAAAAAGTAGCCCTAATTATTTAATGGTGCACCCAGTTTATTTAAAATCACTTTGCATCCAATTTTCTCAAACCTCTATGGCCTATTATATTATATCCTTATTTAATATAATATAAATCCTATATTTAATACCCATAGTACACTACACATATCACCAGGATCACCATCAAGAGTTAATAATTGCTACTTGAAACTTTCCTAGTGATTTAGATCCTGATCCCTATGTAGTGAAGTATATGAAATAACCTTCAAATCTGTTACAACCATATTGAATGTATATTAGTTAATTCTACCCCATACTTTCTGCAATAATATACACAGCTTTTTAGCACCATGGCTTTTGATTAGCACAAAAGGTCAAAAATCAAATTTGCATGTAGACTAGACTGTTTTAATGCAATTCTTAAATTATTCTCCTGAAAAATAAGTGGAAGAAGCCTCTCCTCCCCAGACTGTAAATGCTAATGTTAATGCTTTTTCCCTAGCAATAACGGTTTCTTAGTTTCTGTACATTGAAGGAATCAGAGCCATTTCCTCATTAGGGGTGTCATAGCAAATCACAGGATTTATATTCTTAGGTTTTGATACCAGATAGGAGGTTGACAAAAACTGCTACTTAGCAACCTCTAGCAAGTAAGAAACATTAGCTAGATGTGTGGGGAAGCTGTATCTCCTTTACTCTCAGAGAGCAGCTGCTGAAACAACAGTAAGCATTTATACTCACATGCTTAGTGGGAGGTAAAGGTGCTCAGCACTTCCCCAAAATGGGCGCTCATAAAGCATCTGCGTCTGTGTGAGGCAGGTGGAGCAGGCTGAGGGCAGACAACCCCAGGGAAACACACAGCTGCTTCTTTCCTGTTCTTTCCTGAAGCCGTGTGCTGTTGACTTCACATGACCAAAAGCCCAAGATATTGATGTGCAGGATAATAGAAGTGGCATCTTTGGGAAAGTGAAATATCTGGTTTTGCTGTCTGTGTTGTAATTCAAACATTTAAGAAGCTGAAAGTGTAAACAGACCATGGGTTAGGTACTGGATACAGAATAAAACCCTGGTCTTTCTGAAAGACCCAGTAAAACTCCAACTTTTTAAAAAAATGGACCCCACAATACTCTCTTTGGGGATAACAGAATTTTAGAGGCGAGATACCTCTATTGCAGTTATTCAGTCTCAAACATGTATCAGAAAAATAAAATATTTTAAAGTCAGGTATCTTTTGGATTCCCCATAACTACCCTATTCTGTAAATGAATTTGGAGGAACAGGACCACACGGTTCAAGCAGAGATAAGTGGTATCTGGTATCCAGGGTATAGGGAAAAGAAAACAAACCCATCACATACAGCACGTTAGGATTGCTCAGGCCAGTCCCCACCGGCTGTATGAATTTACACTGATCCTACACAGTAATGTTTTCTACCAGCTCTACACCTCACCTCATACATTTAAACACACTTGCTGAAACAGAAGAGGGCTGACAGAAATACAGGGTGAAATCCCAGCACCACTGAAGGCAGCAGCAAACTTGCCTTTTTTTTAGGCAGTCAGCATAGCAGCCCATGGTTTGGGCAAGGTCTGCTCCAGTGCCCCCTCCAGCAGCAGCGAGAGTGGGAAAACGGGCCTGAACCCTGGTCCTATAGATTTGTAACCAGCCACCAGAGGGTCAGTATGGGAGCTTTAATGGAGACGAGAAAAGCCTCAAGAGAGAAGAAATTATCACTGAGTTAGAACAAACAGCTGCCAATTCCACATCCATTATTGGTGGAAACATATTCACTTTGCCTTCAGTTTTAATAGCACTGAATGATCCAGACAAGACAGAACCTCTGACCCAAAGAGCAAATGACGAAGGCAATTATACCTGATAATACCGATAGGCACAGAGCCAGAACTGATCTGCTACTGGTGATTAAAATCTCTTTATGGGCCTGGCAGAGATTTGGCCACTTTTGCTTCTTGAAAGTATTCCAAAAATTTCTTCACACTAGAAATACAATTCCATCATATTTCCATCACACGCAAACTAAATTAAAAACCTCTGCAAGACAAACTTGAGATACAGACTTTCTCTTTACAACTTACTTTAACAAGATAAAAGAGTGTATTTGGTTTTCAATAGAACCAACTTTCCTTTCTGCCCTCTTCTTCATTTGCAAATGTAAACATCCAAATGCCTGTCCTAGGCAGATATTTTTTTGACAAAAACATCTCAGTGTTAAAGCAGAGCTTATTAAGCCACAGCAACACTTAAGTCAATTCTGCCATGATTTATACATGCACCACTCTTGGTAAGACATGAAGTTAAAGGTTAAAAAAGCAGAGCATTTTCTATTGGCCCCCATTCTTCACAAAGAACAGCCAGTCCCATTAAAATCAAAGGGACATTTGTGTATTGCAAAGCAAGAAGTGTTCAAGAAAGAATGTCACAGTCTGGTCCCTGCACAGCATCATCTGCTGCTGGGGGGGAAACGCCATAAACCTCATCTGCCCAGAAATACACACCAGGACACAAAGCTTATTGCATGAGCCTTAAAAAACATACATCGGTCATACCTTCAGCTACGTGTATTCCAATCGAGATTACCAGCGCTGACAAGTGGCTACTCTATCAAGTGATTTCACTGGGGTAATTTCTGCCGCTTTGTACACACTGAGTTTGCCTTTCTCCCGCTGCAGTCCCATGTCGATGGCACATGATGCTACTTAACAAGAAAGCAGTGGCCAGAGGGGCTTATTAGACTGCTCGTATTACAAAGGTGAACAAAACCTACCATATGATTCACAGCATGATGCGAACACTTACAGATCTCACTGGTTTGTTGTCTATTTTTTAAGCAGAAGGAAAGTGTTTACTATATAAGAGGTTTCAGCATGCACATTTTCTGGAGGACACCAAGGGCATTAAAGAAACATTATGATGGATTTTTTCCGCTTGTTATTGCAATACGCTACAGAGCTGCTTGCAAGGCATAACTTCATTCAGACTTTGAGCTGAAAAAAATGTGGTAAAGACTCCACAACAGAAAAGAAGAACTACTGGGGGCATTCCAGCCTTTTGCAAAGCAGTGCTCTTAAAGCTGATGGTTAAACATGCACACAGATTGGATATGACAGATGCTGCTTTAAATCCAGGCTGACCAGTCACTTAGCTTTTCTTTTTCTTTAGTACTCCTAGCAATCAGCAATTAAACTTCATTTATAAACAGAAGTGGCATAAGGGATGTCTCTTTTCTTGAGTATAGCTAAAAGCAAAAAGTGGGGATATCCTCCCAAAATTCTCAATACATGAAAGGGCACATGATTCACTCCTCTCACATGCTCTCAAGCTCCATTTTGCAGTGAAAGCCTGTCTTATCTTCGCTCCAGTTGTTACTGATGGGTATTTAGCAATAGCAGATAAGCTCCATCCAGAACAGGCTGATCTGCTTTGTGTAGGTGCTTTTCATCCCAAGGTCAGAGGAATGAAGAAGTCCCAAGGCTGATCCTCAGGCACCAGGACCTTATTGCTCTCCTAGAAGGAATGTCTTCAAAGATACCTCTGGGGATAAACACCCTTTTTGGTGTTTAAAGGGAATTCCTGCAGCAAAAAGTTTTCTGGGGAAGGGTCTTTTGGAAGGACCCCTGCCTGAGGCGTGCCCATTAAGAAAGAAGTCCTCAAGAGAAAGTCCATTAATTGCTCATTTTTACTTTTTTCTTTATATTCTCTTTGGAATACCAGACAATAGGGGTGAGGCCCATCTAGAAATTAAGAGCATAAAAATTTAATCATTTATTGTCTCAATACATTACAGTATTTCTAACCAGGATGCAACTGTGACTCCAAATGCTGCATTTGTTTATGCCTTTGCTACCTGATTTCTAAAATGTGTATCTCTTCTCTTTGTTGAAGCAGCCAGGTCTTTTCCCCTGAAGTCTCCATGTAAGTTTGCTCCTTACTTAACCTTCACTGTACCTACCCGAGCTGGTTTCATCTTCATCTGATTGCTTGGCCACTTTATTATGTTTTTTACTGCAGCTTAGTAGCCCCTTGGATTCTGCTCTAGTTCATGTAATTCTCATCATGTGGTTCAGCTCCCCATGGAATTTTTTTTCTCCTGCCAGCAGCAGTCATTTACTTTCTGCATTTTTCATTGTCACTGAAACGCCACCTCTGACAATGTTCAGCCTCCTCTAATCCCTTCAAAAAACCCCCCCTGCTGTCAGTTATTTATTTATTTACTTCCAACCTACTATAAACTTAAATAGCATTGCTGTGTCCACAGAGTGCATGTTGGCACATATAGCCCATTTGTTTCCCCTAGCTACGTGGCAGGCTCTCATATTTTTCTGGAGAGCAAAGCAGAGAAGAAACTATTCTTTTTGCCTTTATTTTCTTAAACATCAGAGAAGCCCCTAACAGACACAGCATGATGAGAGAGGATTTTTACCTGCTTTCTTAGCTGATGACTCAATACACTCAGTGCTTACACAAAAAGGTTTTTGGATGGATTTCAAGAACAGCAACTTTTGCTGCATCTAAAATGACATGAGACTATTTCATGTTGATAAGAACTCTCTCATTAACTGATTGCTTCTCCTTATTTTAATGCACACAGCTCTACCTGGGGACACGTTGTGTTCCGTGCTTTAATGCCATGCTAACTAGGCTGTGTCAGACTTACAATTTCACATATCAGAGATCAGAGACATCTTTTTTTCTTGCTGATGTCTGCTACTAAAGCCAGGTCAGGTCCCGAGAAAAGGACTGTTTAAGTGATACAAATGTAAGAAGGTTGTCCTGGTCTCCCTTCTTAGAGGTGGGCCAACACAAGTTCATGAGAAGTTAGGCCTGGAAAGGATCTCCTGACTCCCCAAGTCAAGTCACCTGCTATTGTGCACTTTTGTGTCACAGAATATCCTATTCATATAAATTGAGTAAAATCCATTTTGGAACTAGTTAGGCTTTCTGCCTTTTCTACTCTTGCTGAAACACATTGAAGACCTTCAACCTGAATTATAAGAAGGTTAATTGCCACCCCAGTCTTATTTGAACCTATTTATACACAATGGTCCTTCTGTTATCATTGTCTTTTATCTCTCCTTCTCTTTTCAGTTGTTTGCTCTCTTTGGAATTTAGCCCTGCATTATATTTATTGAGAAGAATAATAAGCTCTTGGCATTTTCATTAATAGACTAATCAAACCATGCTCCTCTCAAAAGAAGTATCTCCTACCGTGCTGGCTTCTCTGCTCCATGATGCTTGGGTTTAAATTAACCTCTTCAAACACAGCTGACTGGAGCCATCATCTGCAATACTCCAGAGAACTGCTGACCAGAGCTCCTCTTCCCTGTGCAGTGCCTGATTCTCTCCTTCAGCTAATGGAAACACCAGTTCATCGGCTCAGCTCTTTCTTTTTCAGTTGCTTTCATATCTGGAGCTCCCAGATTGTAGCTGTATTCCTGCCATTCGTCCCCAATTCACTGTCTTTTATTTTATACTATTTTACAATTATATTAGGTGTTATATTAAAAAGGATAAAATTAACTCTACCAGGATTATTTGTATTTTTCTAGGGTTAAAAGAAAACTACGCTTTCTTCCATTATTATTCTTGTAAGATGTATAGAAAGCAAGAACAGCATTGTTATTAAATTCTTAGACTGGATACAAGAACTATGTTGCTAGACATTTTGATAACACTTGATGCTTGCCTGGTGCAAATTGCTGCAAAACCAAGATCAACATCAAACCAAATGATCAAGAATCTTTGACAAGAGAAGTTCATTTTAAAAACAGGACACCATTTATTGTAAAATAAATGCCATTCAAAACTTTCCTTTCACCCTGTTCGATACACGATGGAACCTAGAATCCCCTACCTGGAAGGGTTTGCAAATGGCAACATCCGCGTACCACCGTATGCAACTGCCAGAACAAAGGTCTGCTAAAAATACTGGAAGTGGTTTTGAAAATCAATGCCAATTCTTGGAATTTCAGGCACTTAAATACATTCAAAACCCTGATTAGATGAATGGGAAAGGAAAGGCTGAGCATTCACATATACAATGGCTACATCTCATCAGGAATCTAGGCCAAATTGCTTTTGAAAATCTCAGCAGGGTGCTTATTTGCATTTTTGGCATCAGAATACTTTTGAAAATATGGTGGTAAGACTGCCATCCATCAAACACTTCAGCAGGTGCTGAGATTTTGTGCAGGCACCTGGCTGAGTTTCTGTATTCACACGCATAAAATTTCCCATGTGCCTAGCTGCCTGGAGGATCAAAGACCACCTCCGCAGGTTTTAGTCCCTCGAAGCTATATATTTGAAAACTATGGATTTGCCTAGTCTGCAAACAAACCACAAGCTGACATACCGCGTGGTTTCCTCAACCTCTTCACTGAAACTTTAAAAGCAATCCATAAAAGTCAGATAATATTTAACAGAGGGGATTATGGAAAAGCCATTTCCAAACGAGAAAATTGCATTCATGTTTGTTATCTGCTGTCTCCCCTTCACATATATTATGACTACATATGTACGTTTCTAGTACTACTAGAGAGATTGTGGGAAGAAAGTGTTTTTCTTTTTTTCTTTTTTCCCCTCTATAAAGATTGTCAGCAGAATTATCTTAGAGGTGCTGGATGCCATATTGCTTATAGTATTACCAGCACAAATATATACGATGATAAGCCTCAAGGCACAGGACTCAAAGGATAAGTGTATTTTCTGTGACTCTGCTCTAACCTACATGCATTCTCTGAAAAAAACAGGACGATCTCTGTGCGTGCTCACGTGGGATAGAGAAGTTGCACTACGCCAGCTTCCTCGGCCGTCTGCAGAGAGTCGAGGAACAGTCCCAAGTGATTAATCAAGCGATAGCTGAGCTAGCGACTGTTCCCTACCTGCAGGACATCAGTGAGCAGGATGCCAAACTGGTCAGTATTTATTTCTGATACTCGTTTTGGCCTTTAGAGGCAGGAAGCCAAGGAGGGAAGGCTTGGGGCAGAGCACTGCGCTGCAATTTGCTCTGGAAGTAATTTTTTGAATGCATGGACCTGAAGTAGTTTTAAAATCCGACTGCGGTGCCTTGTCAGAGGAGGTGCTAATCACCTGCGAGGATGACTTTTATAGAATCAGCATGACTCATCCGTAGGCATATTTTTAAAACCTCTTCTTTTTCCCCCAAAAGTCCCCAAATCAGTCTGTGAAAATGATTGCAATTATTCAGATTGTGCTACTTTAAGTCATTTAACATCAGAAACCACCTGCAGCAAAACAGGCCGAATCTAGTCAAAGCTGAGGAGAAGGGGGAAAGAAAAGAAGGTTTCTTTCCTGGCTCCCTGTCTCTGAATTAAGCCATCTACCTGCTATGCTTTTGTTTTCCCTGTGTAGGGTGAGGGCAGTGATGCTAGCAGGGCTGTTGCAAGACTAAAATCATTAATAGCTTGATAGTGTATCAATAACCTGCAATCAGAAAGTATCATCTGGTTATTCTTCCATGAGGCTGTTGGGTTTTTGATGGGGGAGGGAGGAAGGTTGCATACATGCAAATTTTTAAGTGTTTCATTCTAGGGAAAAAAAAAAAAAAAAAGGTCCCTCCCCAGTCCCTGCATTTAAACATGAGCCAATTTTGATGATCCAACTTCTATTCACTGAAAACTCTTGATTTTCCCCAAGCCAGTCCCTTGACATTTGTTTGCAGCCCTGCAGAGCTCCTAAGCTCTGTAGAATTAAAGCTTCACAGCAGCTTGCTTTAGGGAAGATGAGCAGCGGCCTGCAACTACAGGAGGTGGCTGCCAGGCTTTGAAGTCTGGGCTCGAGATAAGGGGAAACGACATTGCAAAGAAATTGTGTTATTAAGAGACATTCTCCTTTTGATGCAAGTTTTCTAGTGTTAAACTTCAGCGGGCCCACATTTCAAGGCTGACTAAAGGGTCTTGAGTTGTTGGTATATATTTCGATGATAGTTTTTTCTCCAGGGTACAATATTTTCAGGACACCACACATCAGGCACAGGCTATTACACTGTTGCTTGTATCTTCTCATGTAGTAACCACAAGCCTGACCTCCCTGGAAAGCTTTTTGGAGAGGCTCTAGGCCAAACAAGACAAAGGTCTTCAGTCTCTTAGGGGAAGGACTGGGCAGGACAAGGATCCATGCTGGGAAATTTAACTGACAGATTGTAAATCTTTCACCAAAACACAGATGCTGTGTTTACTGAGCCCAAGGTAAAAACATTTTTGAAAGAATAAAGGCAGAAAATCTCTACCAGCTATCCCGTCCAGAGCATTAAAATGTATTAATTCAGCATTCATTTATTTGTCTTTGTCCTGTCACCCTCCTGTGAAATGTATCTTCAGTCTGTGCAGGAAAATGGAAGCTCAGATGTTTTGTAGCTAGAATATTTTAGTAAACTTCAGGCACCACAGTGTTAAGGCACAAGACTGCAAGCAGGAACTTGCAGAGCGGCTTAACCAGGGAGTGATTGATGGGCTTTACCTTTCCTGGTGGCACCAACCCACATGGCACAGGCTCCTCTTACACCAGGAGGGACCATTTCCCTGCCACGTCACAACTGCATCAAGCACAGAATGTCGTTGCCCATCATTGGGTCTGCACACCCCAACCATCCAGGCAGCGAGTGAACAATCCTCATTTGTTCAGCCTGCTTGTTATCCTCCTTATTTCACCAGGGTCCAGGTAGGATGAAACATTTGCAGTACTGGGCTGTACTGGTGTGATTCCGCAGCCCTCAGTGGATGCTACAGAGGCAGCCCTGCCATATCCAAGGGGTCGGGATTGCAGCACCCACGCTGACTCCACATGCTTCTCACTCTTCAGCAACATTTCTAAGAGCTATCTAAATTTTTCCATGAAGAAAAGTGAGCTGGTCAAATTCTAATCTCACTCGTACTAATAAAAATTTCAAGTAATTCCTCTAAGGTCATTCTGACTTTACATTGGTAAAACTGAGATAAGACTTTATTACCAAGCAAGGCAGTTAAATTGTGAGAGTTAGCAAATGCTAAAGATGCCAAATGTTTATTATCACATACAGTATAAGTTCTATAAAGTTTAAAACACATTGAATTTATAATAGTGCAATTTGCACTGATACAGCAAGAATCCCAAAGGCATTTCAGCTATAAACTCTTCTGTGTAAATGTCTCCCTGTAACTAAATAAATAGAGTTCTAATCTATGGCACAGAGAACCTCAGCTGAGGCCGTCTTAGATCAGTATTTATTCATAGACCCTGGGAAAATAAAGATTTCAGTTAGCTTGAATAGTTGAATTTAAGTGGGGAAAATCCCTGAAGACAATCTTTCCAAGGTTAACGATTTCAATGTCACCATATTTGTACGTCATAAACCAAGACAAAAGCTTATTAAAAAAGCAGAAATCTATTTCAATTTAAAATCAAATAAGGACAAGATATTTTTTAAAAATGCACCTTTTTTCATTGGAGGGGATTTTCCAAAAAAAGATCAGCTTTAGGAGAATTACTGAGGTTTGCCAACTGCCCGTTCTTGTAGCACGCATATTTTGTCTGACATAGAGCTGGTGAGAATCTTTGGGTGGTAAAAATTAAAAGCCGAGATCACACCAGGCACTTTTCACTGAAATATGTCAATATGAAACTTTAATTTGAAAGTTTTTTTGGTTTAACTTCTTGCCCAAAGCAGTGAGGTCCCAGCTTGGCCGAGCTGTTGGAGCAGTCCTATGGGTGTGGCAGACCGACCAATGTCCTGGTCCCTGACCTGGTGGCTGCTCTTTGACCAGTTTTTCAGAGAGAATAACACCAAGAAAAGCGATGGAGGAATCTGCCCCTTCCCCTGACCGATTCCTCCTCTGCCTGGTTTGACACAGGATCTGTTCTTTGCCCATTATGCCCTTAATACCCTTAATCTCTGGGCTGTGTCTGTTCCGGATTCATAGAAGGAGATTATCTGTCATAAAAGTATTGTGATGGAAAATTGCTGACAGGTTCCTGTCTCTGTCTGCATTATAATCAGAGGCAGAAATTTGCAGGTTTGTTTTCAGGAATACTGATGCCTGACTTAAAAAAAAAAAAAGTTTTCATCAAATATTTGGACCAATAAGATTCAACTTAACGGCTGCACAAGCACAGGGAAAGCAGGCTAGAACCAACCAGAGCAAATTTATTTAGAGATTCAAAAGAAGAATCCTGCATCCTTTATCCAGTGTTGGGACACAGACAAAGAATTTTAACTTCAAAAACCTGAATGTGAAGGTAACTTCAGGAAATACAGATCTGCTCATTGAATCTCAAGGCAGCATTGTTATATCTCATTCCATCCCCTTATGCATCTCATATGAGACTGCTGCCTGTGCAGAAAGAAGAGACAATTTCTCTATGAATGTTTACCCTTATACAGTCCAATTACTTCTAATGAGTAACAAATTTGTGAAGAGACACTAAAAACTATTGTTCACTTTAACCAGCTAAACGTTTTGGAATAGACTTAATAGAGCCCAGCAACAGCACAGGTATTAAATACAAGTTTGTTCCCAAACGCTGATGCTAACGGCTGCTCACAGGAGGACACCCTGGATCTGACCCCTGTCTCTCTGTTACTGAATCAAGAGTGACTGAAACATTTTCAAGTGCATGGGAAGGGTGCAGGGTGAGGCAACACTACAACGAACCTGAATTTTGGCCCTCCCCCTACCACTAAAGACTGATTAGCAAATATTTTCCTACAGCTTCTTTTTATAGTTTACACTACAAATTGTCAGCCTTGTTTTTATGCTCTGTTACACTGAATGATGGGGAGCAGGGAGAGCTTGCCAAAGAAAAAGGGTAGTAAAAGCAGGGAAAATGAGCTAGATACTTCCAGCTACAGTAAAAGCATCTTAGCTTTAGTGTTGTCCTCTTGTGAGGTTTTACATGCTGCCTTAAATTATGATACATTAGCCTTGGGAGAAAATACTAAAAAGCATTCATGTACGACACAATATTCCAGACAGCTAAAGAATGAAATATGGAGCCTTTATTCTTTACAGCCCAGGTCTTCCTTTGCTAAGTATAAACATTTACTGCATTAAAACGTATCAGCTTAAATACAAAATTTCCAAAGGATTTTTTTCCCATTGTTAAGTATTTTATATGCGCAAAAATACGGTGTAATGGCTGAAGTAAAGATGAGGTGGCAGTGCTCATTGTGTGAAAGATGAGTAATAAAATCATCAGTGTACAAATGATTTTTTAATTAGGCTTTAATCTGTGTATTTAGAGAAGTTATTTCTGTGTGAATTCCACACTGATAATTTTTATCTTGGTGCCACAGCTGCAGTCGCTAATGGCAGATGCCATGGACACCCTTGAAGGAAGAAGCAGTGGGGAAGGACGTGTGTGGAATAAAATTCAGCAGGTAAAAACCTGCAGCAAAGGGCAGGAGAGTATATTGTGCCTTGGGGAGTAAATGTCCACCTGAATCATATCTGTTCAAAAGGTAGAAAAGAAAGTAGGTGCCATTTGAAACCTGACTCTGTGCCTTGAACTCTGTTAGTGCTCAGGCACTAGCCCCAAATACATATTTATTATTTGCTTTAGCCCCTACGATTGATCTTTGTCCATGTTAACAGTCTCATGTGGCTATCTAAAGAAAAAAAAAAGAAACAAACAAACAAAAAACCAAACCTGAATAGCTTTTTTTTGGCTGATACTGATACTTCTTTTCCACCTTTGTCATATGGGGTACTGTGCTAATTGGGCGGTGGGGGGGGGAGTTGTTAGCGAATAAAATTCAGCCCAACAAATGAGGTCCCTTAGTGGAGCTCAGATGAGGCTTTGGTGATGTGAGAGGTAAAAGACATGTAAGTACCTTTCTGGAGTCTCTGCACAGCAACCAGTCAATTTAATTCTTTAAAAGATTTGTGAAATGTGGGAGCCTTGTGTTGGGTCTCTGTACAGATGAATCTGACCCCACGTAATGAATAATAGGTCAGGCTGGGATGTAATAGGACCATCTTGCATATTACAAAGCCTTTCAAACCGCAGTGAATCACAGCTCTGGGCATTCAACACCATTGACATTCAGCCACTTCTGAGGAAAAGGGTAGCAACGCATCACCAGGAAGGGAAAATGTTGCTGATGGTTCACAACTTTGGTGTTACCCTATGTCATAGGGCTTCGTCAGATCCCAGCCGGACACACGGTCCCTCTGGGTTGTGGCTGTGATAGGAGGCTGGAGAACAGAGGGTTTGAATTTCTGCACTGGTGGGACTTGAAATTGTCCCTCTGGGGGATTTAGGGTTTACAGACAGATTCAGGGGAGATACTGAAAACCCAAACCCTGCCTACACTGAGTCACTCTAACCGGGACAAGCAATGAAGACAGATGTCTGAAGCAAATCGCAGGGGTGGAGGGTCAAGGCCAGATATCCAAGAGATCTGAATGAAAATTTCAGGAGGCATCTCATCTGAGAGAAAGTCTCTGTAGGTGTATCGCCTTTGTTAGCTGTCAGATCAGTGGTTCTTAATAAAGATTTCCAAGTACAGAATGTTTTCAGAAAGTAACCAAACCCTAAATGCCCAGAGTTATAGACAGATTTGGTTTCATCTCCTTCAAACACTCACGAGGCAAAACAAAGGATAAATATTCATACTGCTTTTACATTGCATCAGGATAGTCTCTGAATCTCTCACACATACCTACAGGTCACAGAAGAATCTTCTGCAACACAAACACTACATATGATATGCAGCTATACATATATTTATACAATTACATACATATTTCCTGACACATATGACAAACATTGATAAAAAGATGAATGCAGAGTCAATTATATATGTACAGATAGCCTATTCCCTGTACTTCTCTAGAACTTGTCCTTCCCATTTTCAGACAGTAGACTTTCATATCAAAAATAGTTTTCCAAAGTTTTTCCAAACATCAGGATTTTAATCCACAGTTAGGTGTTTGAATAACCAGCCTGATTTTCACAACTCTGAACGACCGCAGTTCAGAGGTAGCTCAAAAAGGATCGTGGCTGGAAGTTAGACCAAGTGCACCGATATCCAAATATTTATTAAAGGCTCATTAAATTTTGGTGGTGGTACCAAAAAAAAAATCCCACGTACTTCAACAAACACTGGCTAATATTTCATTGTAAATTCTGTAAAACTAAGTATTTTATTTCAGTGTATTCATATATATGTATTTCTCTGGGGACTTTTACGTTCGGTATAAACTTAATGAAAATCAAGCTAACATTTAAAAATGTCACATGAATCAGTGCATAATTCAATATTCAGGAATAAAAGTTACTGAATCCATGAAAATCTGCTCTCTGCCATTTTAAGATTTTGTGCTTCAAAATTTGTTTGCATTATGAACATAGTTTTGCATTTCATTTATGACAACTCAAATAACTATTTGATTTGACACAGCTTGTTCCAAGCAGAACTCACTGTTTCATAATGCAAAAATATTTTTCTATATTATATCAGAACAAAGAAATTAAAAGCATCATCAAATACTTCTTTTCTGCTTTACTTTTTTTCCAAAATTTAATTTCAGCATATTCAGCACGTTCTTAAGAAAATTTTTTCTTTTAGTAGAGGAGACAGGAAAACATTCAGAGAGATTGGAACTTGGGGGATTTTTGTCGGGTTTTTTGTTGGTTTTTGTTCTTTTTTAATCAGCTCCAATTAAGAATGCTACACTAGGTTAAATAATTCTAATATATCACTAAGAAGGAGGATTAAATCTGATGTTTAAAAAATGATGTGGTGTGGACTACAGTACGTCACTTGTGCTAGAACCACTTCGAAAAGTTCAGTATTTCTGTTTGCTCATTGCATGATGCTGATTGTAGAAACCTACAAAAAACCTTCACACAGATCTAGTTACAAGGTGGTTATTTGTATTTTTGCTATTGAATTAATTTACATATATTAGAAAGCGAAAAAGAACATAAAGGAGTTTATATAAACGCAAAACTCCAGAAAGCTGACAGCTACACTACCACCAATGAAGTTTGACTTTTGCAATAGAAACAGCTGTTGCACCTAATGAAAGCACTCAGAATTTTTCTCTAATGCAGCAGCATTATAGCAGTGCCTATTTTCCAAATGGTTAAAGGGTCTGTCAGAATTGCCACTATACAAACCACTGTTTTCAGGGTTTGATATTCTGGAGTCAGCCATAAAAAATTCATTCAGGCTGAAATCCAACAGAGAAGGGCACAAAGCCTGACACCCAAAGACTTTTCCTTTTGTCACAGTGGAGGGTTTATCAAATTAGTTTGAAATTAATCTGGGCAATTTTGAATTTACAGGAGTGACAAAGTAGTAATATATGTGTAGCTTCAAGTGGTTTGGGTGCTGCCCTGCTCATCCAATTCACTGGTAAATTTATGTTTTTTAAGCAAACTAATTTATCAAGTGGGCTAATTATTTTTGGAAGCTTTAAATGCAAAGAAATGAAAAATGACCTTGTAATTAGCTGGAGAAAAGAGAACAACACTGTACAGAAGATACCTTTCTCAGCATTACCAGGCTACAGACTCTCCAGCCACAAGAAGAGCTGACCCAGGAAAGCCTAGATTACCTTGGGAGATTAAGAAACATCCTCCTACAGAGGTTTACCCACATACTAAATATCCCTGAAGAATGCCTCGGAAGCAGGAAAAATGGGCTGGGTCAATCTCCCAAAATCTCTGTTCTCCAGGATTTTACCAACCCTTTTCTTTGCAGTCCCCTGGACAAAATGTGAGCTTTCTATTAGCAATTTGGGGCTAAGAATTTTCAATCAATTTGCAGAGGTACTGAGTCCCAGTCTACCTCAGGAACATTTTCCTAAAAATTTTTTTACCTCCTCCCTTCTTTTTAGAGTTGTCAGAAATTCCCCAAGTGAACTTGTTGATGGCCAGAATGCTGGGCTTACAGAGGATTCAAGGCACCATATTAGGGTTTAGTATTATTTTTTTTTAGTTACTGGCTCTGTCTAAATTGTGTTATAGGTTGAGTTGTGAAGGTACTTAAATATTACACCATCAGCATTTCATGAGAATGGACTTCTCTGGAGCCACCTTTATGAATGGGAAGCCCTCCTAAAGAAGTCAGTAAGAAATGCTGTGGGAAAGAGCATCAAACCCCCTCCTTTAAAGAGGCTTACCCAGTGAACAGAGGCAGACATGTATTTTTGCTTACTGGATTTTGAAGTGTAAATTCTCTTCTTAATTCAGATTGCATTTGAATTTATTATTTTAAAGAGACTGACTTAGCCTGGCCATTTGAGCAATGACCTCCAATCAGCAACAATGAGCAGAAAACTTCCAAGAGAGATCGAGGGGAACTAACCTGATCATTCAACTCAGTCCAGCCACTGGGTCTTAAGCAAGTTGAGGCACAACTATAATACCCAGGTCTGGTTGTTATTGACTAGCTTCTTTCCTGAGAGAGTTATATGTGATGAAAGTGAAATCTGATGTGAACATGAATGCTGGGACTAGCAGTAAAGTTTGGCTTTGAGTAACTCGAAGTCTCTGGATGGCCACTGCAGGACTCCACAACAGCTACAGACAGGCAGAGGGGTTTAGAGTATCTCAGATAGATGAAACAGCAGAAAGGCTCACCCTTTGCTCTGTAGAGCGTTTGCTTCTCTGCAGTCTTGTAAGAAAAAAAAAAAAAAAAAAAGGAAATAAGAAGAGATTACTTTCCTATCTTATAAAGTCATTAATAAAGCCTCACAATATTGTTACAGTGAAAGGCATTTCATTAAATAAATAGATACTTTAGAGCCTATCAACCAGAAACTTTTGACATCCAAAGAGAGGAGAGCCAAATAAGTGCAAGTGCCAGTATGGCTCTGCTTCTCCTATGAAGATAATAATGTTGTTCTACTTCTCCATTTAGGCCCTGGGCTTTCATAGCAGTTTCATAGGATCTTCTTAACATCATTTGAACAGCCAAAGGATAGACAGGAGTTGGCAAATAAACACTTTCCTACACTTCCACATGTGAGACACTTCATAAAACCTTCACATCTGAGTTTACCTCAAGGGCATCATGTACTTTGCAATTTAGATAAGTTATTATGCCCATAATTTGCTGAGCTCAGTGGAATGTCTGTTCCATAAATCTGAAAGCAGAGCAAACATGGATGAGTGAATAAAAGAACAGATGTAACTTACATAAGGATAAGTATGTAACAAAAGCTACACTAATATATGTGAATATGAAATGGAGGAAAATTAGCCTAACACATTATGTAATATTTTACCCAGGCACACAGATTTTCAGTAGTTGACCTCTGCTTACTACACCTCTGCCTTCTGCAACAGCAGGGGAACACTATCTGATGAACTGTGCTCTTCCACCGACATTATCTCTTAATTGAAAATCAAGCCATGGAAAAGGGC